TGCAACTTCACTGCTAGATGGCACGAAATACACACTGGTCCTTAAATGCTTCCATAACTTGTAAGAGCAGCTGTCAGTATTAGTGTTGTTCTGACTGGATTTTTGTATCTTCCTCTAGTTCCCCTGTCAACCAGTCAGCTGTGATTCAGTTCAATGTGACCTATAGCTCCAAGCAGAACTACTCATCTGTAATCACACTGCCTGAGCAGGTAACACATAAAACCACATTTTTAAAAGCAATTGTGCTGCAAATTGCAACAGTTAAACATACTCTCTTTTGGGCGTGTCTAGATGTAAGTTGTGTGTGTTTATGTATCTCTGAACTTTGATTGTCTGTTCTAATCATTTCACCTGATGCAGTGAGTTAGCCCTTTACTCCAAGCCACTTTAAAGAATAACTGCACCCAGTCTAATAGTCTGTCTTGCCCTGCTAACTAGTAGTGACAACATGACTTGCTACACGGGTGCCATTCTTTGCGTCTCCCTTTGTTTTGCTTTTTGCTGGCAGCTGCCTGTACAGCTCTCAGTTGTGGAATTTGTGTTTGTGGATGTATATTATGCAGGCAGTTAAAATCAGGACATGTGAAATCATATAATTTGCGTGTTAGTAGAAGAGGATGAATCTGTGTGAATCTGAAATGTTTTTGGTAACCATCATCACACAAAACAAACGAATTGTATATATCTTATTATATTTCATTGTACTTGACGTGTACTTGAACTTGAGAAGGCAGCCATTGCACTCAGTATCTGAATGGTGTGAATAGGGTGAGTGTGGCATGTTTGTACAGCGCATTGAGTGGTTGAAAGACTAGAAAGGCGCTATATAAGTACAGTCCATTTACCATTAAGTTATTGAATAAAACATCTTGGGTTTGTGCTGTTTATTTAGGTGTTTCTGCCAGTGGACACAACCTCAGTCACTTTCAGTGTAACATCCCATGATGTCGGTCAGGTGACCACATACATGCTTAGCAACCACACAGACCTCAACAGGTGGGTATCAGCAAAGACGCAACACTGACAGAAGACCTATCTTTCCCCCTCTTTCATTGTTCCATCCAACAATCCAACATGACAATAGGAATCGCTTTGATCTGGAAGTACAATTAATGAACAGGGGTTTTTCTTGTGGACAGTGCTGCAGTGACAGCTAACACTGTAGAACAGAAAATATTAACATAAGAGGGAAATGTCCTGTAAAAGATTACCATAATAGGCAGTTGATTTTGCAGAGTTAGCTTCCCTTTATTCCCATTGGTATGCTCTGCCTTTCTTCCAGTGTTCATTTAGAAAAGAAGTTAGCCAAGATGAGTTGGTGGTCTAAGGGCTACCGTTATGTCCACACAATGCCTTAACCCTGACCACAAAACACTGTTTTCAACTCCCCAGATGTTTTTGTTGAGCAAGGCACATGTCATACTGGCTTATCTGGTGAGCACAGTTTAGACTGTATTTATCAGGTTACATGAATACATTCAGCATCAGTTTATGAAGAGCTAATGATGCTGGACAAAAACTACGGGTATTGGTGGTATTGGTAGGCTCAAATGACATGAGAACACACATTTAAAAGTTATAATGATGATGCTA